CCCCAAAACCCCAAAACCCCAAAACCCCAAAACCCCAATATCTAGCCTATTTATTGTTGCAGATAGAAAATAAAATATCTTTGTAATGGAGTCAGATAAACCATTAGTCCTTGTAACAGGCGCCTCTGGATATGTCGCAGGATGGGCCATCGTCAAGCTTCTCAACTCAGGCAAATATAGAGTGAGAGGAACTGTCAGAGACACTAAGAATGAAGATAAATTAGAGCCTCTGAAGAATGCTCTCCAAGAAAAATGAGGGGATAATTTTGAGAATTTTGAATTCGCTGAGGCTGAGCTTTGTGACTTCACCTCAATTAAGCTTGCTATGGAAGATGTCACTTATGTCCTCCACCTTGCCTCTCCAATGGCTAGTTCGACTGGAAAAGATGAGGAAAATGAGGTAATCAAGCCAGCTATTGAAGGAAATGTAAATGTACTCAACGCTTGTATTGGATCCACTGTTCAAAGAGTGGTGATTACATCTTCTGGCCTGACTATCTGCGACCACAAGAAAGGAGAAGGAGTCTACTCACACGATAGTTTCGTCGAAGAAGACAAATCACTTGATGCTTACTCTAAAAGTAAGATCAGGGCTGAGCAAGCTGCTATTACGTTGGTTGAAGATCTTGAAGAGAAAGGAAAAAGAACATTTGACATAATGTTCATACACCCTGGTGGCATTAGTGGGCGCCCACTTGTACCTCAATTCAAAGGAGAAAGTATAAAAATGTTTGCCCAGATTCTTGATGGGCAGTTTTCAAGAGTGCCTAAAGTCTATTATCCAATGGTAGATGTCCAAGATACTGCCCAAGCCCATATAAATGCTATCGAGTATGGAACTCATCTTGGAAGATATCCATTAGCCAATGGTACACATAAATTCAAAGATCTTTGTACTATCATGAAGGATAAATATGGCCCAATGGGATATAAAGCTAGTGATAAGGAGCTCTGCAAAACTGCAGTATTTGTCGGAAGTCTTTTCAGCAAAGATGTGAAAAATATTTATTTTCACTGGGAAATCAAAGCTGAGTTGGATGGTGAATATGCCAAAAATGAACTACATCTCGATGATTACATCTCTGCAGAAGATAGCATCATTGATACATGCGACTTTTTGATAGAGAACAGCTTTGTCAAAGAACCTAAAAAGAAGAAAGGATTCTTCGGTTAGCTAAGTTCTTATAAATTTGTCAGAATTTTTGGGGTTATCGGCCATTTTTTGGTGGACTTAGTGAAACTTCAACGAAGTTGATACGTATAGGGGTTTTGGGGTTTTGGGGTTTTGGGGTTTTGGGG